GAACAGAACATGGTAGAACATGATAGAACAGAACATGGTAGAACATGATAGAACAGAACATGATAGAACAGAACAGAACATGATAGAACAGAACATGGTAGAACATGATAGAACAGAACAGAACATGATAGAACATGATAGAACAGAACATGATAGAACAGAACATGATAGAACAGAACATGATAGAACAGACAGTAGATGTGAGACGTTGTGAAGTTACCTTGAGGGCCTGCAGGTCGCTGTCTTGTTTGTAACAGTACAGAATGATGTTGTTGGTCATACTGAAACTTTCCCTCACTCCCAGGTGATAGAAGAGGGAGGGCTGACAGAACGAGTCGCTCATCTCCACCACCGCTACGTCTGTGGAGTAAAGCGAGAGTAAGATCTGGGGAACGTTTGCGTAATTGGCGCAGAGCAGCTGTGTGCCCGCGGTGTGTTCGCGTGCCTGCACTTGCCTGCGTTGTAGAAACTATCCAGGATGTCGGTGGTCCCCAGAGCGATCCGCTCAAACGAGATGGTCTTTAACGCGGCGTGTGCGTCCGCGCAGGCTTCCTTCAGACACGTGAGGGACAAGTTCTCCTCCGTCTGCGGCACCGACGCGTCCTCGTTCACGATGTACGCCACGGACACCTCTCTGGTGCGGCTCCGCGGGGACACGAGCTGTTTACAGGCGCCGCTGGAGCTCAGCTCCATCGCCAGAGAGTCCTGCCAGAAACTTCCAGCGGACACACGCACCGGATCCTTCCTCTTCACCTCATGCAGACTCATGCGCCTGCTCATCCTCCTGCGCTCCGTGGTGAACATCTTCTTCTCTCCGCGGCTCACACTCGGCTCGTGCCCGGGTCGAGGCCACTTGTCACGGTTGCGTGTTTTTTGTTTTTTTTAAAGTTCCCAGGTGTGTCTCCGCCTCAGCTTTCACCTCATGTCACATTCCTGCTGCTCCTCTCTCCACTCGACCCGCCCTCCTCTGCTGCTGCTGCTCCGCCCGCCGAGCGCTTTTTTCAGACTGAAACCAAACTCCACTCAGCCTCGACTCTGACCCCTGCTGCTGCACTGTACATGACTGATGACCACCAAACATATATTATATTTAATAACGATAAGAACAATGTGGTGGTTGTGTGTCACCCAATAAAGACAAAGTATTCATTCTCCAACTGCACAGAAACAGTGAAAAGTCAATACAATAACAAGAGGAGAAAATACAAACATACACGTTTATATACGATGTATTAATTTATTGTAAGTTAATAGTTTATTTTTTTAATATGTACATACCTCTTAATGATTTAGAAAAATATATATTTAATACAAGCATCTTATGAAGGAAAAAACTAGAACAAGAGTGAGGTTACCTCTCAGACATTTTTTTAAACCATATAAAATATGAGAAAGTTATGAGTGACATTATGAAAAAAGTGGACAACTTTGCTTTTGGCAACTTCAGCTTTTCCCACCACCTGTGACCCATCTGTCAAAAACAAATCCTGAGAAGATCTCTGATGAAGGAGTGAAGTGAGGATCTGTGACTGAACTCACCTCCAGCTTCAGGCCTCATGTCTTCACACAGGAGAGAGGAGATCCAGACGCTCTGACACACTCCTCTCCACAGGGAGGCGCCATCATGAGAGCTACTCCTCTGAACAGGAGGTGGTGAGGTCATTTAAGGGTGTGGGTTATTAAATAATAAAAAACGTCATTTATATCGGATTACAATGGTTGTGTGTAGACAAGGATGTATTATATGGTGGGATTGTGTTGCTCTCTCTTACTATCACTGACACCCAACACTTTATGGATTACTTATTTGTTCAACACTCGCATCCTCTTCTATTGTCCCATATCGTATTTACAATTTCATTTAATAATACAGAACGGTTTAATATACAAAATTCTATTTTTATTTTAGTAGGTACATTTTATATTGTTTCCCACTTTCCCTGATCCTGAAACTAAAAAAAACACCTTAGTACAAACCTGGTTTTATATTTGATTATACACTCTCCTTCCTATTTCAACATTAAGATTCAATATTTAGATAAATATGCCTATAATTGTATGGGTTCTTTTTTTTTTTTTTACCCACGCCCCATCCATCACCAAGTTTTGTGGAAACCTGTTGTGTTGTTTTGGTGAAATTCAACAACTCAACAAATGGTCCAATTTCATCTGAATTTAGAAGTAAAACATTAAAGTTCAGGCAATTCTCAAAGTGGGTCTACCTTACTAGTGATGTCTATTGCGATTCACTCTTCTTACTCTTATCATCATATAACGTGGTATAAAAAATAAATCAAGCTCAATAAAAAAAAAAGACAGCTCTGATGAGGTGTTTACATTAAAACAAAACCCGAGACAATATAAATTTTCTTTTTTATTTACAGTAGAAAAATGAAAATTTACTATGAATGCTGTGAGCCTCTCAACAGACAAAAATAAAAGGGGAGTCTTTAAATACACACAACATCAACTATTGTCCCTGCACTACAAAGCAAAAAGGCAATATGACTAAAAGTTGTATGTATGTTTTCTCTGGCAATAAGCAGTGCTTATTAAACATGAATGTAAAGTTCACATTCCACATCATCTTGTACAATGACATATACAGATGAGAGTTTAGTCTTCAGGTATACTTCGTACTCAGTTCTGAGATCCAAAAATATAAATTTAACAATTGTATCTAGCAAGATATCTTCATCTGGCACTGAGCACAAATTATGAGCACTGTCAGATGAGAGATCAGTCATGCATCACACAGACATTGCACAAACAACCTGAGAGTATAAGTCTTCTTTGAGACAGTTGTGGCAGGTTTATACAAGAGTTCGGTAATTACAGAATACACAAACCGGCCCTGTTCCATTTTTCTAACTAAGTCCCACGTTTTAAATCATTGTTTCTTTCCCTGCAGAAACAACTCATTGTTGAACATTGATGACGATGTGGTCTAACCTGAATGAACCGAGGCAACACAGTCCATGGGAGTAATTCACTCATCGAGGCCTTCGTCCTCTTCCTCTTCGTCTTCCTGCTTGAAGTCCACCTCGCTCGTGTCTGAGAACTCGTGCAGGAGGACGTATTCGCGGCTGCTAAAGCCGAACTTGAGAACGTCCTTTTCTTTGAGCTCATAGTAGCGCTGGGCATCGATACGCTGGTTGTTCAGGTAGGTGCCGTTGCCGGAACCAAGGTCAATGATGTAAGGCCTCACCCTGCGGCCAGAGGTTCCATCTGCACGCGTAAACGGCACCAGTCTGTGGAAGAACATACGTATTAGTGGACATGTTCACTCATAATCAAGTAAAATACTATTTGAAAAAAGTACCAAAGTTTGACTATATTTGTCTTAATTAAACTGATTAAAGTTAAAAATATTTGCAAAACAAATTAAGAACACCTCAGCTGGTGATGGATATTCTTACCTATACTGGAATACTGCATGTTGCTTGGAGCATGATGGATGGTCAATGGGGATATCAGCAATTTTTCTCTGCCGCCCCAACAAATAGGCACTCTGTCTGTGAACGTACATGACCGGAAGGGGTTCATCATTCTTGAAAGGGTAAAGTCGCCATCTGCGCTTGGGAATCCGAGCCTCGGGGGGCTCGTTGTACTTGATCACCACCCCTCGGAATGTGTTGGTATCTTCGGTGAGCGCCCCCGACAGTCCAAAGTTGGGCTTCTCCTTATCAACAGGAGCAGCACTGGCACCATCACTCCCTCCATCAGACTCTCCAAAATCTTGTTCCTGGTTTTCAGCACGACGCTGGTGGTTTTCCCTGCGACGTTCATTGTGCTGCTGTCGCTCAACTTGTTGAGAGGAAAGCGCTTCTCGATCTCTGTGTCTGTCTCCGCCGCGGTCTCTCTCCCGCGGTCTGTCCGATTCCCACCTGCTCCGCCCCTCTTCTGGTTGGTCGTTTCTTCTCCTCCGATCATCACCAGCACCACCACCAGCCCGATGCTCATCCCGCTCCTGAGAAATATTTGGAAAGAAGACGGAAGAGTTGTTTAAGAACAAGTTACAAGAAGTTATGGTTTTATGGCACCACTAAAAAATAATTATGGGTTGTATTTTACTACATTCAGTCAATTACTATGCCAGGACTGTATCGGGCATATGACACTGCCGACTAAGCCACTGTTCTTCTTCATGTCACTGCCGACTTGTTGTAGTTAAGTTCCTGTACCCCTGCGTTCACTTTTGGGGGGGCCCATCCTTATAAAACAGGCCCCTCCTGCTTCACCTCTCCCGTTCTTGCTGCTGTTCACCAGGAGAGGTATGTGACATCACGACGAACATATTACTGTACTGAAGCAAAATGTTGGTGTTTTAATAAAACCCAGAAATTTGGATTCAGCACATCATTACAGCCCTAGACATTCCCATCAAAACATAACACCAGCAAATATTGTCTGTGCACATAACGACAAGCTTAGACTGTTGGATTCAGATCAAATTTGACTGAGGAAACTATTTTAAAAATGTTTTCTGGTTATCTTATAGTTCCTAACTATAGACTTGTGGTACAAACACTTTTAATACACAACATTCCACTAGCTTGAGCATCAGAAACATAGTACTCACTGTAACACCAGTGTCCAGTGGGTTTATTAGTACAAATGGCACACTGGTTCATCACAAAACAATATGTCTGTAAAGGTGTTAAATACCCTGTTGCCTCTTTTCGTCAAGCTGTTGGGCAGATAACTGAAAACCTAATCACCCGCTTTATTTTGACATCCGCTCCACCACGCTGAGGACTCCTCCTGTTCCTGGGGGATCCGCTGCCTCTTCTCGGGGAGCGCTCCCTCGTCCTGCCCGGGGACCTGCACGAAGAACACGGACACTCTTAGATTAAACACCGGTCTTAAAAAACACACAAAAACACAGTTTCCGTAAAACGCGCCCTGCACGTGTTGTATATGTTGTTGTTGTGTGATGTCAAATGCTAACGGTCAAACCATGCTAGCCCACATGGAAACAATGGCGGACGTATGTAGGGTTAAATAACACAAATACATGTTAATAGCGACACGATGCGATGATGTTGTATGAACCTGCTGGTTCTCCTCCTCTGAGGACTGGAGGAGGTGCCGCTGGATCTGGACCGGGAGCGTCGGGATGTCTGTGGCCTAGCGGGGCTCACTTTCTCCTGCTTTATCTTTACTTTACTCTCCCGCTCCGGCGAATCTCTTCTCCTGTGTCGCTTTTCTTTGGCCATTTTCTTAAACATGTATCTGTTCGACCGCTAATGTGACTAAAGACACATGTTCGATCCCGCAAAAGTAAATATGAGACAAAGGAAAAGTCGGAAAACGGAGCGACCGCAAACTTCGAGTATTGTAATCGGATCACGTACTTCCGGTTCCTGTGGGTCCGCAGCAAATTTATCCCGACGTAATCACTGCACACTTGTGATATTGGTTCCGGTGTCGTGCGTAAAAGTGATCGTCTGCCATAAACTGAAATTATAATAATTTTTTATTTACGAATATAGGAGAACATTTTATTTCATTGACAGAACTTCAACACTTGGACACAGAATTCATTTTAACTAAACATATTATAGAGGGAACATAAATTCCGTGTTTGCAAAGCTTTCTTGTTTTTGGATTTTAGTATTGAATCAAAAAAAATTAAGAGGAATGTTATTCGATTTGATTTTAGATTTGTGTATACGGGATTTGCCAAATATTAATATTAATTCAATTAATAACCTGATATTGATTTTTTTGGGTGGAGGTAGTAAAGCCAAACAATTATTTTTCATGGGAGAGTTCAGAGTCAATATATTGAGAAATAAATGGACAGACGGCCCAAAAAAGTTATTACGCCTGTAAAGTTTTATAAACACTGATTTTATCGGAAGCTTGTTACGCAATTTGCGCTGTTGCCTTGACAACGCAAACATTGCTAAGCGCTGTTTGTGACCGACAGCACCGACACATCTGCAGCACTAACCATAAAGATCCTGATTTTATTTTTACCGTCATCACAGCAGAGGACGATGATCCCACCGACAGACTCTCTCCTGAAATACAACAACCCGGTTCTGATCAGCAAGAGCACAGACAGGAAGTCACCTAAGGTCAGTTTTCATAGTTGTTTCTATAAAAGTTGACTTGAGACAACAGGAAGTGGGGAACAAAGGGAAAAGGTTGTTAAACCTGTTTAGTTTTTATTATTTGTTGAGCCTGTTCATATGTGAAATGTAGTTCAGAAAAAAAAAATCAACTCAACTTTTTTTTAGAGGGATAGTTCACCCAAAAAAAGAAAATTCACTCATTATCTACTCACCACTATGCCTATGGGGGGGGACTTTCAGAGGTAAAGAGCTGTGCAGCCTAATCCAATACAATTGATGTAGATGGTGACCACTTCTTCAAACGTAAAAAAACAAGAGAAAATAAAATAAATGCATATGGATAAGTGATTGCAATATACCTCATGTAACACTTCATACTTTCCACCACAGGCGCGGCCTTTAAGAGCGTGCCCTCAGCAGCCCATTGACTCCTGCCCTGTTCCACCACCTCCCAAACCTAAATCCACCTCCACTGAAGCCACCGGGCAGGAAAATGAAGCCATCCTGGACATCATCTTTCCACCCAGGTACATTTACTGTATCTCCATCATTGCTCAGCCGGTTTAACCCTTTGTGTTATTTATCTTATCATCTGCGTCTTTGCAGGGAATGGATGGTAGGGAACCAACAATGGCTGCAGCAAGTGTCCAGCTCTCCTTGTACAAGAACAGATGTCGTGCGCCTCGAGGAACTGCTGGACACAATGCTGCAGCAGAGGCAGGCCAGAGAGGCGGGCATCTGTCCTGTTCGCAGGATGCTCTACACTCAGTGCTTTGGTAAACACAACACTGAATGCACTGTAGTTACAATGGTGGCAGATACATTAAGTTTTTAGATTCATGGGACTAGATTTATACCTTATTGGTCACATTTTTCATCCACAGCCACACAAACTCTTAACATCATATTAAAAAAATTTTCCCAGATGAGCTCATCCGACAGGTGACCATCAATTGTGCCGAGAGGGGTCTGCTGCTGTTGCGGGTTCGAGATGAGATAAGAATGACAATTGCTGCTTACCAGACACTGTATGAGAGCAGCGTTGCGTTCGGCATGAGGAAAGCACTGCAGGCCGAGCAGGGCAAAGCTGACACAGAGAAAAGCGTAAGGACATTGAGTTTATTTTATTTGTTATGAATTACAAATACAGAGGAACAATGATTGCAAAATCTCAAATTTTGCATTTCAAAGATAATTTGGACATGTAATTTAGAGATATGGGTTTACAATTAAAACTTTGTGTTAGAAGTCCAGCAGAGAGCGCCATTTATCTTTAAGAGTCCCTCAAATAAAGATGGTGGCAGCACATTTTACAGAATCGATCCTGCATCTGTAACTTGCTCACATATGTATCTAGACTTCTGATCTGGAGAGTGAGATTCAAGACCTGAAGAAACAACTGAACGAAGAGAAAGCTCGATGTGACATGATCGAAAAGAGAGAAACTGAAAAGCGACAGGTGGAGGAAAAAAAGCACACAGAGGAGATTCAGTTCCTAAAGAGAACCAATCAGCAACTCAAGGTGAGGTTTCATCATCACATATAAAAGAACATGTGTTTTCCAAGCGTCAACAGAAGCCGTGTTACTCGTCTTAAGAGTCATACCAACCAAATTTGTCTTTCTTTTCAGACCCAGCTCGAAGGGATCATCACACAGAGGAAGTAACTGAAAACTACAAAACCCTGAGTTACCATTTCCCCATTTGTCTTAGGAAAATCATGTATATCGAGTGTAATTTGCAAATATTTTATTTTTCTTCAAGACAAGTACAGTTCAAACTATAACTGTACATTTCTCTCGAACATCAAGAGCATTACACCTGTAAATGATGAATGAAATGTCATTCAAACACAGAGGGGTTGAAGGAAAAAGAAAGTTCAAAAGGTAGAAATGACGTGATTTTCCCGAGTGACAGTCTGAATAAGGCATCACATGTCCACTTAATAAAGGTAGAATTCCACTTTTTATCAACTCTCCTTTTTCAATAAAAACTTGGCACTTTTGGGCCAAATTAAATAACGATTTATTACAGATGTTGTGTTTTATAACTCCAGCCTTAGTGCTTTGATCGTTTGCTCTTCTGGCCCTCTGTGGCTGCTGCTGGGGCCTTTCTGTTCTTGTTCTTGTTTTTCACATTGTGTGTTTCGTAATAGCGAACGCCAACTTTCTTCGTCCTCTTCGCACGGTCCATCGCTCTTCTCTGTAGACATAGACAGAGGGGGAAAACAATTCATGAAACATTCTGCCACAAAACACCTGAGCTTTTATCTTCATTCCTGTTAACGTTAGTAAGAGGAACAGACATTCATCAAACTGATCTACTGTTTGACAGCAGAGAGGAGAAACACTACATACCTGTTTAGAGGTCAGTCTGTGCTTCTGCGCAGGCTCCTCTTCATCCTCAGCTGTCCTCTTCTTGCCTCTTTGGTTTGCAGCTGAGATCAAACAAAGATGTAACGTCAGTTTCTGATTTAGTTCTCAAGGTCAACCTGACCCAAACCAAACACATTTCATTGGTGCAGGTACAGATAAATGGTCTGACAGAAAAATATATTTTTAGTTTCCCTTTAGGGAAAGTACAAAATCTGTGACACAGCTCGCATCCTTAACCATATCTGACAAACATGACATGCTTATTACCTTTCGTCTGAGCTGCTGCTTGTTTCGTCTTGATGTCTGCGAGCGCTTTGTCAGACAGTGCCTTGGGTATCCTGTCGGAAGAAAAGAAAAAAAACTGTTTAGTCTTGTTGGGATCTGGTGAAATGAACAACTATTAAATTAAGCTCAGTGTATCTTAACAACTGTTAACCGACTTCAGTGTCAACTGATTTACAACATTCAGGAGATCGTAAGGTGAAAATGATCACTTTTAGTCCTCAGAGGACTTAAATGAGAGCATGAGAGCAGAGAACATCTGTGAGTGAGAGCAGACTGACCGGATTGCAGAGAAGCGCTTGGTTTTGGCGCGGTCCAGAAACTGTTTGTATTTGGCGATCTTCTCATCCAGCTCACGGATTGTCTGACGTGAACTCTTACTGTCGTCTGCTTCTCCAGTCTGAGCCTTTATCGCATCGGAATCCTCAATTTCTCCATCAGGTTGCTCAACTGCGGTCGTGTCCTCTTCTCCCTTCTCTTCGTCCTCACAATCTTCCTCGTCCTCGGAGCCAGATAAGTCAGACATGTCCAGCTCAGGTATCTCCACGGGAACCAAGTCTTCCTCGCTGAACTCAGGTGCCACGTTAATCTTCCCAAAGTTCTGTCGCACATTGGCGAGAATCTTCTGGACCTGCTCCTTCTGCCTCTGCTGGTGTTCCTCATGTTCTTCTGATGTGGCATCTGGATTTTCTGGCTGTTCCTCCGGCACATCCTCAGCTACCTCTGAGGGTCCTGCCACTGGCAGCAGCTCCTTGTATTAGAAAATAACCATGGGAAAATACCGGTTGACACACGTTATAGGCTGGTGTTAAAAACCTAAGACTTATGGAAAATTCATTGAAAAAATACCTCATGATCCCCCTCAGGTCCAGGGGGTTTAACAAAGAAGGGGATACGTCCTCTCTGCCAATCGTTCAACACCATCTTGGAGACTGTTGAGAGATCTGGTTCACCACCCTGCATCCAGAGATACAACGCTCAAGCTTACTCACGGTTCATATGTGATGTACTTTTTAACTGAAACCTGTTATAAGTACAGCATATAATGAGAAGTTTAAAGTACAGCTATCGCTAGATAGCATTCATGTTGCACAGGAAAATGAAAGAATCATTCAGACCTTTAGAAGTTTCCCTGTGCGAAATGCAAGCTTCTCAAGAAAGTCTTCCGCAGTCTCCCAGGTCGGGATGCGGTAGGTTTTCTGAATGTATTCTGGCTTGGCCCGCTCCAGTACAGCCCCAATGTGCTCCTCTGGGTTCTTGATCTTCTCCACTTGGACCTAAGTTAGGAGGGGAGAAAAAATGTCCAATTTACAATATGAAACTGACAACTTTCAATGAGGGACTGATTTGCCTACATGTTAAAACCGTGACTTACAACTCCTTTCAAGACAATATCAGATTCGCTGTCTTCTGAAGGGTAGACAACACCGGGGCAGTCAATGAGGAAGATGCGCCTCATCAAAGTGATGTACTGCCACACCTACGATGGAAAAATATCATTAAGTGAAAATGTAATTATTTCAGTTTCACATGAGTAAATATGATGAGTGAGCTGACAATCTTTTGGAAAGGAAAAAAAAAACTGTTAAATCAAATCAGGATGAGATCATAATCACAGCTTCTTCTTTGGTAATCAAAAAAACTCCCTTCAATGACTGGGTCGTCAGGTGGCAGGAGGTTAGAGTAAAGATTCTGTATATTCATTCAATAAATAAAAAAATGAGAGTCAACCCTGTGCTGCAGATCATGAGCATCATATGATGACCGTCCGTAAACAGCATCAGGTGCGTGATGAGAATCAAAAGACGTGGGGGGGAATAAAGATGTACTGGCCACAGAATCCTCAGATCCACTGGATAAGTGTGAAAATGATTCTCCCCTGTGTTTGTGGTCCAAGTTCACAAATTTTGCAAGCATTGAAAAGTTAAGATATTTTCCCCCTTTCTTTCCCCATGACCCTTCTTTGGACATTTGGGTTTTTAGACCCTTGTTCTTTCCCAAACAGGATAAGCAGCCCCAGAGAGGAAATTAGGGATAAAAACTGTTGTTGTTCTTTCTCTTGGCCCAGTCTCAAATTAGATTTTCTGTTGTATAGTTAAGAACACAGAGTCGACCATTTCTGTTGTTGCAGCTATCAACAATTACCTCACGTTACCCCCCATTGAATTCAAGCTGCCCTTTGTCCTCCATATAAGATTAAAAACCAGAGAGCTAACGTACCATCACCCTGATCATGTCCAGCAGCATTTTTAATGTGAAACATGGACGTTACCTTCGTTTCTCCAGCGAGCGGTGCCACATTGCAGACCTTCTTGGACCGCAGCGTGTTGATGACCGAGCTCTTTCCCACATTAGGGTAACCAATGAAACCCACACTTATCTGCTTCTTGTCCGTGTGGAGCTGTAGGAGACAAACAAATTAGAGTCAAGAGTGTTCGTGGAGGAAATTTGAGATGAGGCTCTGTTGCCATTTGCAATAAAGCAGGTGGACTTGTCATCGCTCCAGAACAACAATGTAGTTTGCTAAAGACAAAGCAAAGAATATCTTAAAAAAGGATTTATGTGAACATGAAAATCTTATAAAGTTAAATTATAAAGGTAAAGTTGTCTTTCATCTCCTGTTTATCGTGGGATGTTAACTCTGTTTTTGGATACGGAAAAGAGAGAAACTTTTACAGAGAAATATACGCAAGGGTTTCTGGGCCTTTATCATCAAATAACAATCAAACATTTTACAAGGACATTCCATTTGAAGATCATTTCCCTTTTCATTTCTTGACCTTTTAGATTTTCTGAGTCCTGTACTTTCATGAACAAGCTTCATTCCACAGCCTCTATGTCACATTACTAGTTCATGTAGGTTCAGACCGAACCATTAATCACAGTGAACATAATGATCTTGATCTAGTTAGAGATGCATTGTGAAGTAGATAATAAGAACATTTGTTTGAACAGTTTTTTTTTAAATAAAATTTTTATTTAATTAAAATAAAATCCTTTTACAAGCGTAGATAACACACTCAGAAATATGAAGATGAGAAAATTCAATGTCCATGGCCAAAACCTTCGATCAGTTAACGGTTGAGGCTCATGACAAATGAAATATGTTGTAGACATTTTGAATTCCAGCATGTGTTTACCTTGCCAAACTGCCTGAGCAGCTGGATGAGAGAACCTTTACCAAAGGAGTTGGTGAGACTGGCATGGAACGCCAGAGTGGGGTATTCTTGGGACAAAAGAGCAACCCACCGTTTCTGTTTCAAAGTTAAGGGGAGGAGAAAAAGATATTTTATGTAATTTAATACTATAAAAACACCAGCATGTCTCTAATCAAACAGAGATGATTTTTTTTAATATCTTACCGTGACCCAGGTGGGGATGAGATCACACTTGTTTAGTACAAAGATCAGATGTTTCCACTGTTTCTCCTTCTTCAGGTATGACTCTATACTTTTGGAGCGTGTTCCCATGGGATCACGGGCATCCAGCACTTGGATGATAACGTCAGATGAGTCAATCACCTGTTGCAATAAAACAGTCAGGAATGCAGGATGTCTCATAACTCTTTAGTGTACTAACTTCCACATTAACATGGAAATCAAACCTTGTAAAGTTCTCCCCAGATCCTCTTGGACTGACCCTTCTTGAAGATTTCCTCACGTGCTTCGTCCCTGATGCCAAAAGAGAAAACAAGCAAACAATGTATTCTGACCTTTAAAAAATTTAAATTCTGCATTTTTGCTCCGGACCAGTTAGATGAAGTGAGAGTCTTACCGGACCCCCGTGTCCTCAGTGACCAGGTCTTTGTCCTTGTCTGCACTGTAGCTCAGGGCCGAGGCCTCAGCCTGCTCGAGGAGATCTTTCATGTCCCCCACGACGAGACTGGGCCTTTTCCTCTGAGCCTTGGGTCCAAACGTGGTCTCAAAACCTTCTGTGTCGAGAATGTGCACCTTGGAGTTCTGCAGTTATAAAGAGAGAAAGATATGAGAGGTATTACAGCTGCGATTATTGTTTAATTCCATCAAAAGCACAAGCTCTTTACTCTGTTTGATACAAATACAAGTAGTTTCTTGGGACGTGCATTTAAAATAACTAGAGCAGTGCTAAACCTGCCTGTGTAATAAAGGCGGTTTGCTTGGCCTGTGCTGATGCTGGTTGCAGCTTTCTTTCTGAAAATGACCTGAAGTAATTAACCAAAGTGAGTTTTAAGACTGGCTGAGGGACTACGTCTGCCGAACCCTAAAGCCGTGCTGCAGCTGCACAAAGAGCTGCTCACCTCTTTATACAAAGTGCAGTGAAACTCCACTCAGTACGCAGATTCCTGAGCTAGAGAAGAAGTTGCCATTGTCAGGACTATTATCACCTACGTCGAAATCTCAGATGCTGCTGATCAAGAGCAGTGGCCACCCCTTTATCCAAAATTGTATTAATATTGAACAGATTGTGTGTCCAAATCCTACTTCAACAGTGCACTGCATGCGAGTCAACATAACAGCCAAGTCCGTGTCAATGCTGATCAAATGTTCCAGTGATCTTGAAACAGAAGCCATACGTCTACTGCACCACTGCCATGAGGAGCAGGGGGCAGTTTACAGCTTTGTCAAAAATAATGGTGTTAAAGGCTTCAGGCTGCCTTGAAAATCTGCCAAGTTCTTTGACATAGAAAACTTAACCCATTCAACTGGTCACTCAACAGTCAGACGTCTGAATTCAAGAGAAGTTTATTTCACTTACTAAGTGTTGTGACCAAAATTCTGTGACTAGGATTGAGACAACGGACGATAATGTCATCAAGAAACACCAATGGCTGACAGGTATCACGTTGTTGAGCACGATATAACCCAGCAAAAACCAAAAGAAAGGATCTAACTATCAAGTACCTCTTACTTAAATCTAATTTCAGATGATTTTTGCTTTGGGCTTTCAGCCTGTTGAGAACACACCACTTTGATTTGCTGGGAACCCCTCTCCACAATGTTGTCATCACCCATTGGAATGTATAACACACACACCGCCATATGCCAATTTGTTAGACATCGCCCAACCCTTGTGAAATGGACACAGCTGGAAACAGTGAATGAAAGAAAAACAGGAAGGAGAAGAGAATAACTGGATGATATTTGGAATCATGCTGGTTTTGGGGTGGAAAATATAAAGCCGGACAACTCGTGTGAAGCACAGTGGCCATTCAGTGTCACAGGGGAGCAGAATGACAACTAAATGGAGGTCTTGTGTTAATTTCACCGCAAAACATCCCTTCAAATGAGCTACTGAGGAAACAGAGCCACGACTCTCCCTGCTTTATATAAGCCGAACAAAAACAACACAGTTCTATATGCCGGTGCCGTCAGAATAAAATTGAATTCAGACAAACAATACATATCACAGGGGGGATATGCACAGGGAGGGTAGAAACAGACCCCTACAGAAATAATTCTTCCTTTAAAGTACAGTTAAAAAGGTTTATACCCTTTTATACTCACATGGGCTTTGACTCTATCGTGCAGAAGAGACATTGGGAGTTTGCTTCGTTTCATCACCACCCGATATGGATCCTTCTGTATCGCTCCCATCTCCTCCTGGAACTTCTGGAGAGATGACTGTTTGATGACACGGGTATTCGCTGGAAGAAGAAAATAAAGAAGTGTGAGACTATTCATTTAGATATCCCATCTTTGATCATGTTTATAACTCCTTCATTTCTCAATTCTCACTCACTGACGAGGCACTCAAACTTTTCAACCAGGTAATACACTGCCGCCAATGTTATCCTGCTAAACTGAACTCATGGCGGATACTGGTAGACATACAATCACACTATACTCACACTATACTCTTCAAATGTATTATGATATCAACATAATCTAGTTATTAAAGGACAGCTGGGTCAATTTAAGACATGCTGCAAAACTACAGAAAAATACCAGAGGTCTCTCTTCCACAAATACTGTCAGAGACAATACAATTTGCTGCCAACTACTACAGGCAACTCTGATTTAAGACAGACGACATATTCAGCAGTAAGGAAACACACTCACTAAACCATTTGATGTTGGGTTCAACTCTGGCTACAGTCCCCGGAGCCACTGTGGACTGGAACTGTAAAGGTTTGATGACTTTTCCACGGTTATTACTGGAATCAGAAGATCAGAGTCAGTGTGAACTCAACACTCACTGTTACATTTCACCTCTACTAAGAATAATCTGCCAATCAGCAGCTCACAAGAAAACCTCAGACATTCATCATCACTCACCATCTCTGTTTTTGTCTGTACATATTCAGACGCTTGATAGTGGCTCGGTCCCTCATGTTGTTCCCACCAGCCCCCTTGGCTCGATCTGAGAAACACACAGACAGTTCATTTAATGTTTCATCTGTTAATTATATCACAACTTGTATTTAGTTGAATGTGCTAAAATGCCAGTTTTGTTAGGCACATCAAGCTAATATTAACCCAGTCGAATAAAACAGCCCTGGAATAAATGCCAATATAAGGTTATATTCACGCTTTACATAAAATTTGTTGTATCCCACCTCTAGCCCAATATCAACCCACAGAGGATCAGCAGTATAGATAATGGATGGGTATTTATTTTGTAAATACACACTTACTACCATCTTACTACTACTATTAATATTCTGTCTTTTATGACAACACTACTTGATGTTTGCAACCTAACATGTACTGGGACTTGTATAACCAGTGTGACATCTAATATTTGGAGTCTTGAGTATCTGTTTAAGATTTAATTTGATGTCATCCTATAGGCTGTAATGCCCTTTTCTGTTGAATAGTGTTGCTTTAATAACTTCATAACATTTTATGTCGAAAACTGTTTTAATAAATACTGAACACTCATCCTTCATGCAGGTTAAATTTATTGTAGTTTTCTATTATAATCTATCTATTTTTGAATCACCTGTATGTACATATTTCTACATCTTTTCATATTTATAGTCCAAGCTTTTACTGCTGATTCCATTTTTTACTTTATAGACTTCATTCGTTGGTATTATGAATAAAGCATCCACAGGCTTGTTCAGCACTACATGTCATTGTACCTGCACAGTGACAATAAAGATTTAATTTATCTTGAAGTGTCAGCTTCATGGAACTGGCACTTGAACGTGTTCGCTTCACAGTGAACCTCAGAGCAGCTTTAAGAGTCACTTTAAGATTAATTAACAGCAGCAACTGCTTCCAGACTTTACAAATAAAGACTTTATAAACTTCCACACTTTCCCGAAACGCTCGGGTGTCAAATTTAAAAGGCCTAGCGATGCGACTACAGCATTAGCTTAGCATTAGCTAAAGTTAACTTTCAGGTTAAGTCCCCCAGAGTTGTGTGAATCAATTTGACACTTTCCACGTGTAACAAAAGAGACTGTGTTAGTTTAATAAAGACAAAAATAAGCCACGTGTGTGTTTTACAGAGCACAGTGCGAGGCGGCTAGCTCACATTAGCATTAGCTGTAAACAAACAGTGTGGCTGGGAGAGGTGGGGGGGGGGTTAGCTCACCGGGGTTGCTGCTGGATGTCGAGGTGTTTATGGAGCTTCTCCCCTTAAACTGAGGCTTCACCATCTTGGCGGCGGAGTCGGCGAAGCCCTGCACAAGCAAAGAAACAAGTAGAAGCCGCCGGGAGGTTTGTGGGAGCTGGAGTTCGGCTGCTGTTGTTGCCGTTAGCTGCTAACTGTGCAGCGCACACGTGTTGTACGGTGAAACAGGAAGGACGTCACCGGGGGAAACGAGAGAACAAGAGCCAATCAGAGAGGCGGACAATGTGACGTAATAAATGTGCAGAGTTTCTATTGTTGAATGAAAGTAAATTGACTTAATAGAGTTCATGCTAAAAATTGTAATTCCTACAAATACTTTAATATTTATAATTTAAAGACTTGCATTAGATTACTTTTATTAGTAGCACAGTAAATTAAGTATTTGATGTATCATACTACAACTGCTATTTACTTTTACAATATTACTCATGAAGTATTTATGCACTCTCAATCCATTGTGACACTATTCCGGTTTGCACTACTCTCATCCTATCACCGTGTGTCTAATGACTGCATACTATGTTGTACTGTGTTTGAGTACTTATTGTGTTGCATACTTATATGTTCTGTCTACTTATATGTTTACACCTGGGATCAGAGAGAAACGGCATTTCAATCCTGTCTATGTCCTTTGCATGTGGCAGAATTGACTTTGACTTTTTGAAAGAAATTGCAAAACATATTCCAGCAGAATCTGCAGCTCAGTAGCAGCTCTCCACTTTATGTAGAAATGTTGCATTGCCATTCTCGTTTTATCCCAGAAGAGGGTGCAACACAGTTTCCATAAGGGAGTTGCCATGTGCGAGCATGTCCTGCCTAAAAATCTTAACCTGTCATGCTTAGTCCTTCAGTACCTGAGAGGCTACTGTCTGCAATCTGAAGTGAGTAATTAAGGTAACGGGAGGCAGGTGAAGTGAAAAGAAAGTGTGTTTTGCAAAATAAATGGTCGAATAAATGTGTTTTTATGACAAAAGGGGAAAGAAACAGCAGCCACAGAAATGTGGTAGGAATTTTGGAAATGATGTGGTCACTACAGAAAACTTAAAATTGTCAGGGCTCATTTTATTATGCTATTTGTGCTGTCCAATTGAAAGTTTAGAGACACGACCTCAATGTCCTCAGTGGTGGCTGCTACTCATGAGATGCAAAAACATGATCCAATTTCACATTAAACAAGTATAATTCTGGTGTTAATGTAGTTGATCTTTATATAAGTTTAAAGGGACTTTGAGAGTTGCACCCTGCAAATGTGAGAGTTCACTTGCAAACAGAAAATAAAACAACACTCCTAAGAAATTATGCTTTTCTCCCTGAAATCATGGATTTTCATGAATGCAGACCCTCTGCACCTACACCTTCACAAAGTGTATGGTATGTTACACAAGTGTGGCACAGCGCCAAGGTAGGCAAGTTCATAAAGACTCCGGTCTGGAGAGGCGCCATCCAGTATTCAGTTTATACAGCAGGGAGACCAAAGAATGTTCTCTGTTCATTTTCATACAGATGAAATTGGAACTGACTGCATCAGTAATCCACTGCAATAAATGTATTTTTTTTTAAATCAGAACGTAACATTTCTCCTTCTGTTTCAGGCTGAAGAAAATCCAAGCAAAAGAAACAAACTGAGGCTGTGTAGGTTCAATCTAAACTGCCTTAATTTTTTTAAATGACATTCATAATCTACAAATCCTCCATAGGAAACATATTTATGAAGACAGGGGAGAAACAAACAGTGTTTCTTTTTATTTCAAGCTAACTTCATTAACACTCAAACAGTTTCACCTCTAGTTAAAGACAGACATGTTCTTGTCCAGTTTCTTACCATCTTTATCTTTAATTCTTACAATGTCAATATATCACAAAATGCAACTGTCCAATTTCAGTGGCACTTAAGTAGGTATTTTAAAGTGTTTTGAAAAGATAAAATACAGAGCCATTCCTGCATAGCTGTTGCCTCTCCATGTCTTTTTTTGATTGTCTTTGTCTTTAAGTTCAACACAAGTTCACAAGAGCATGAAATCCTTACTCTCAACATCGGTTAAATCACTTTGTGGCAAAACACTGAAATGAGGTTGACTTTTTCTTTCCCTGAGGAAATTTAGCTTCCTCTCATAAAAAGAACCCCCCCACCAACAGTTAACTTCTTCAATTAGAGGAGAGACCAATCACAGTTTACAGTATGTATTCTCTGTCACTCTGCATGAACATAGGTTTTTTTCTGTCTGTCTTCACATCGGCTGTGCATTTTACAGCCGCTAAAAACCAACAAGTTGGCTGCACTTCACGTGACCTCGATTTGCATGAGAGTGCGCATTTAAGGCGAGGCACTGACACAAATGAGAAAACGAATCGATTGGGCAAGCATTAATCTGAATTTGCATGCGGGAATGCAACAGGACAAGGACTGACCACCCATCGACTGTCCATGACAGAACGACGGATGGATGCCCTCAGCAGTATGAGAGACAGAGTTATGTGAGGATTGTTTTATTTTAGCCCAATTCATTTTATGACAGGACCGGACACATATAAAGCCTATTCAAAAAAAGAAAAAGTGAATAATTGGAAGAACAAAAGAAAGTAATTTTAATAACATTATACAACATCTCTGGCCAATTCTGGACCAAACTTTGTGTACTAGCACTTGGGTACTCTGTTCTTTTATCAAACACATAAAAACACATATAAAGCAACTCTCAATTAAACAACTACGATAAATAGCAGATTTAAGGAGCAGGTTTATATTACAACACACAATTCTGCTATGCACTACATTTTATAGACTCGTATAACTGGGAAAAGGTTGAAAAGAGAGGAGCCCCGTGTCCTCTGGCCTCCCATAAAGGTGCTGGAGTGAGAAAGCTTGACAGATGATGTGAAAATTTCCCTCCTCTCTTTGGTCTTCTAGCCGTGGAGCATGGCAGGTTTAGCTTGTTTATTTCTGTCCATGAGCGCCAGCCACTGACGTCACCGCATCCATCTTTCAGGCAGATACCCACTCAGCCCATCAGTCTGGTCTGGATTGTGACTGACAGCTGAGGATTCACAAAGAGTGGGGCGTCAGCACGAGAAACACCTGTGTTTAATAAGATTATAACAGAACTTTGCACAGATTGATACCTCGAGTCCAGCATGTGTTGTACAGATTTTAAGTTTTCAACAAAAGATGTTCATTCCAAAATGAAGTAAATGATGAGATGTCTGCTGGCTAAAAATCTTTTTAAATAATAGGAAGAATATATACACATTCTTACAAAGTGATTAATGATATAAAAAGCATCAAAGGAGACATATTGTAACTTTGAAAAAGGGGAAAAAAGACTTGAATAAAACAATTCAAAATGTATTAGGAGAATTAGGAGAGGAGAATTAAATCCAAAGAAACAAAAAATGTGTTTAAAGATTTATTTAATGGAAAACAGTGAACATTTAATAAGCTTACAACACTACCGCATTTACAGTGGATCATAAAACACCCCAACGTTTCATCATAAACAAGACAATTAAGCTTTTACTTCCTCCCTGTTGCTCAGCAAGTCCATAATATGCAGAATCCTTAACATTTTCTTCTCCACTACCTCACATCCCTTCTTCGTGCAGTGAGAAACACCAGATGTGGGTTAAGGTACTCAAGTTTTTCTTTTAAATCTACAACACGCAGTGAGATGGGAATAAGTTAAATGGGGTTAGTGTGACAGATGCTGCTTCACAACTTAGCACTGGTGCACTGAAGCTCCCCACAGCCGTCCATGTGAACGTGTGCATTTGTGGATAATATTTCAGCCTGGCTCACAAGCCGAGGCTCTGCTTTGAGTCAAAACTGGAACAGCAGCGAGATGACAGAGCGCAGCCTCCGGTGGACTAAACAAAAAGAGAAAAATCGACAAAGTCCTGAAAGTTGCTCCTCCTTTTAGCTTCACTGTTGAGAGATGTTACGATTGAAACCCAACATTTCTCTTCAGAGTATTTCGTAGCTTAACTGGAGGGGCACTGATGTGCTGAAGGCTGTCAACAGGCATTGGTGCGATAAACATGTGATAATGCAAAGACACACCACAGCCTGATATTACCTCTATTTTAACAGGAAACAAGATGTCAGATTCCCTTGTTTAGCCTGAATAAAAGTTATCCTAATGGGAGCATGATGAATGTCTGTTGGACTAACACAATTTCATGGCAATCCATCCAATATCCAAAATCAAGACATCTTTCTAAAATTCAAAAATGACAACGTTGATAGTACCAGAAAAAAAGTCATGATATCATCAAAGTCAGGATAAATCATCTGGAGACCTTGAAAATTACAAAACTTAATCAGATAGTCTAGATATTTTAGTTTTGATCAAAACTGATCTACAACACCAGATAAGGGGCTTTTAAAAGTCTTGGCAAACACATTGTAGTATGAACTGTTAAGTTGATATATATATATTTAGGATGTAATGACATTAAAGAATTAATAAATGTATGGTCTTGCTTACAAATGTTGGACTCCTATGTCCATTACACCACTTTCCTCCATCTCAAAGCACCAAAGAGAGCAAAGCACTCTAGTCAGAAGCTCCTGTCTCCAGATAGCACTCACACCTCATTTATATATAGAGATACTATTGACAATTTCCAAAGAGGATTAGACAGATTTCACATTGCACAGGGGCAGAAGAAGGAATAATGAGAAGTGAGAAGCATTAATCATGAAACAAATATAAAACCAGTGTTGGAAAAACCCAGCTGGACATGAAGTGATAGAATATGTTGTTTTTCAACAGAGCATGTTTCACTAATGCGTAATATCCTCTGTGTTTATTTTCATCAAACCTAAATCCTCCACTTGGTTAGTTCACGGCTTGTCGCAGCCACAAGTTTCACACCACATAAATCATAGCATAATCTGTTGGCATGGGCCTTTGGGAGGTGTTCTTAGTGTCGTCTAATGAATGGTGTTTATGAATGCTAATCTGTGGCATGTAAACCACCATTTTTGGTTGAGATAAGCCACAATAAGGTAAAAATGTATTTGTCAGTGTGTTTAGTGCAGGCTGTACACTCACTGAACTCGGCTCACAGGTCAGTTTCCACTTGTATAATCAGTGACCTTCAGTTTGGAGTGCAATTTAAATCTTAGGCCAAAATATTTACTGTTTTCCAACGTCACCGAGAACCTCAACGTAGAAGTAAATCAGAATGTATTTACA